CATCAGCAGTAAATTGAAAGTTCCTTTGGAAACGAAGGGGCGTGTCGATACTCCAATTGACACAAACCCGAACAAACTCCACCCAATTGACATTCTCGTCAAAATCAACACTAACTACAGGACCCAAATTGTCTCCAATGTACTTAACCATCGCAGTAGTGAGATACACGATTGGAATACCCTTGATTTGGATCCAAAAAGGAATAATCTTCATCTCCTCCTCACCAATGTTCGAGTACCAGCGATGAACAGATAACATCCATTCATTGAATGCCCAAGGCCCACGGCGAAGCACCAGGTTCATTGATTCCTCTGTTTTGAAGATGAACAGAACCTTGCCATTTCCCAGAATCCGACCTCTACACTCATTCATGAAACCCCAAATCTTCGGCATTTGATTCACAATAGCACGCAGGTTTTGCTTCTTTGGGTTAACCACCGAAACGATCAAAGAGAATCGATTCGCGTTTGCAGCGTTTCCACACAGAACCGATGGTAGAGGCACCGGTTCGTCATTGATTCCCAAATCCAGATTTTGTAACGACTTACGAACGTAATCACTCATTATGTTACAGTAGCAGAGACAGAATGGTAGGAAGAAAGTGAAGAAGGATGAAGAAAATCCGACAGGTATATATAAGTTTTTCCATAGCGGTTTCAGACGGTTACTCTTCGAAAAAGAAAGAGAAAAGAAACTGAAATCAGAAAACTGATTCAGAGAGAAACCGTCAGACCAGAAACTAACAAAACTACTGAATTCTGTCGGAAAAACACTCCTAAGCGGAGAAGGAGAAGACCAAATCGGAAGAAGAAAAAAATCGCCTAAAAAATCACCCTTCTCTCGAGAGAGAATCATTATTTTTACTAAAAAATAGTGTTTATTAATTTATAGATGTTTTACGGTATGAGATTTGAATACTTGTATTTTTAACTAAGGAAGTTCTCTAAAATTCTCTCAAATTATTTAAAATCAAATCCACAAACTGTTTTCAGTAATTGTATATTTGAAAATAGGTTTTCAAATCACTAGTTCAATAACACATAATTTCATTAAAAAATTTACATTCATGATTGAATTACACTAAACTTTTCACAAATCATTTTGAAATTCTACCTTCAAAACACTCCCTAAAATTTTGTGTTGGTCAAAATATATACTGATATTATTGGAAAATATATTGCAAAAAGGAACACAATTTTCCGTTTCATCATCACTGTCGTCGAACACCCAACAAACGACTCCGTAGTTTATTGAAAATGTTTATTGAAAATGAGATTTCATATTTGGGCCTCTGATGCAATGTTGGCCCTTCTCCGTATCGTTCTTATAATATTGGGCCTTTATGGGTCTCATTCTTATAATATTAGGCCTTTTAATTGTTTTATCAATCTAGGGCTCAAGCGCTAAAACGAGATGGTATATATAGACCAAAACCCTAGACGCTTCCTCCCTCAGCTGTCGCTCGTCAAAAAATTTCAATCGGAGCTTCGACCTTCTTAACTCCCGGCGGCGAAAATGGTGAGCTTCCGCTATCTCTGGACGAATCAGAGCGACGTTTGTGTATTTGAACCACCGAAAAAAGTTGTGAGGATGTAATGTTTGATGGTGTGATTTGTTTCAGGTGTTCAAGAGGTACGTTGAGATCGGGCGTGTCGCACTTGTGAACTACGGTCCAGATCATGGGAAGCTCGTTGTTATCGTCGACGTCGTTGACCAGAACAGAGTATGTTCTTGATGATTTTGTTCATATGTTAATCTCAGATTCTGTAGTTTCTCTTTTGTTAGATTAGGTTTAAAAATTGGATTTGGCTTCAGAACTTGGTTTACAGTTTCATTTGGTATAGTTGTGTTTGTAACAAAATTGAATTAAAGTGCTGTGAATGTGTTTGAAATGTGATGTATGTAGTATTGAACTACTGTGATATAAGTGTGTTTGTAATGTGATTAGTGAATGATGATTGAACTAAGGTGATATGAATGTCTTTGGAATGTGATTAGTGAGTTCAGGATTGAACTAGTTTGCTATGAATTTGTTTCAAATGTGATTTAGTGAATGCAGGATTGATCTAGTGTGATACAAAGTGTGTGAAATGTGAAATCTTGATACATATAGGTGTTTATTTTGGTTCTTATGGAGTCGTGATTATCATCTTGTTTGTTGTTGTTTAGGCTTTGGTGGACGCCCCTGATATGGAGAGGATCCAGATGAATTTCAAGAGGTTGTCTCTTACAGATATTGTGATTGAGATCAACCGAGTGCCAAAGAAGAAGGCTTTAATTGAGGCTATGGAGAAAGCTGGTGAGTGCTGTGCATTATAATGTTGGATTAAGTGTTCTTGATTGTTTTAGTGTTGTTAAACTTTGAATTGGTTTGCAGATGTGATGAACAAGTGGGAGAAGAGCTCATGGGGTAGAAAGCTTATCGTTCAGAAGCGTAGGGCTAACCTCAACGATTTTGATAGGTTCAAGATCATGTTGGCCAAAATCAAGGTCAGTGTGTTAAAATTATCAGACTTCGAAGATTCTATGATTCTGTGTGTTTATGTTTAAACTGAAATGTTATTGTGTTTGTTGTTTGGTTGTTTGCAGAAAGCTGGCGTTGTCAGGCAAGAGCTTGCTAAACTCAAGAAGGAGATCACTGCTTGATTCAATATATTATCTGCAAATCTGTTTTGTCCGATTTTGGATTTGAGTGTTCTTTTGAAAGTCTCGACATCATTATGTGCTTTATTATCCCATGTTTTAGAACCTTGTTTGAAATATTTAGTTCTTGTTATTTTATCTTTAAGATGACCAGTTTTTCTTATTACGCCTTTCAATTTGTGTAATGCCAGAGCTTTGCAATACTCAAGAAGCTAATCACACAGGTTTAAAACATACTGAAGACTTGAGAGATATCGATATTAGAAAATATGGCCTTTGATGTTGTTCGTCGAGTTTATATGGTTGGTTAGATTAATGCATATTAGCTTTCTACCCGTAAAATAAATGGAAGCATTTGGGTTTGAATGGTTGTGATGGTTGAGGTGGACAAATTTATTTATTTACCATTCATAACATAACTAACATTTCATTTTAATCACGTAATCAAAAATAATAATTAAAATACTAACATTTTCATCACGTAATCAATAATCTATTCATATATGCTAATTTTTGTTTACCATTTTTTGTGTGTTTTACATAAAATACATGCATTCAAATCTTAGAATTAAAAAACATGTAAAACTATATTAATATATATTCTAAATTACGGATCGAAAAAAATATATTTATAAATAAAAATTACTATATTACAACAATAAATACTATTTTCCCAATTATACTTATGTTAAATAACTCATGTTGATTATAAAAGAAATTTATTATATTTTTAAAAATTTAATGGAGGACACACAGTTTAAAATTAACAAAAAAAGATCAAAAAATTAGTTTTATAAGTTCTTTTTAAGTTGTATGTTTTTACTTATAAATAAAACGAGAAATACTATTTTATCCAATTAAGACTTATAACTTATGTTTTTTAAACAATTGTTATATATATATTTTTTAAAAACATGAGTTACAATGAATTGAGGTAACCTCGAGAAGATAGAACTTGAGTGCAAGTAATCAAACATTTTCTGAATGTTATCTAAACTATAGTAACATTTTTAAAAGAGTATTCATCGAAATTGTGAACCAATACATCTCATATCAATTTTTCAATGAATTACTTAAATTAAACATATGACCAATTATTGCTCATCTTAGTTATCAAATTTAGATGAGATATTTTAATTTGAGGGAAAATTTTGTTTTTTTTTTTTATCAAATTGAAAGATCTTTTTTATTTTTATTTTTGTCGGCCGATAAATCACTAGGAAAAAGTTTACTTTTAACAAGATGAAATTATTCGATGGGATTACCTTTATATAATTTTTATTTAGGAGGACGATGTTTGAGAGCCCTAGAGTGCTTTTTTCCTTTCATTGCCGGATTGTCGAGATCTTTATATAATGTTTTCTCCCTTTTCTTTATTTCATCTAATGAAATCATTGTTTTTTCAAATTGTGAGTGCACACACATATACATTTTCATACCTAAAAACGGTTTAACCAAAAATGAAAAAAAAAATATTATGAGATTTATATAATATTTTAAATAGGTGTATTAATTAAAAATACCAATAAAAATTTATGAAAGCTGAAATTTTTTCACTTATGGAATTCAGATGAGATGTTGAAAGATATTTTAACATCCTAGTTTCTTGTTTTTCTTTACTTATGAGACAAATGTTTTTGAGTGGTTTTTCCAATTGTGAATGCACACATGTTTGTACATAAAAGTCTGACACTTTTCTTCTCATCACAATCCCAGCTAATCCAAGTATATATCTCTTAATCTCGATCATCAGGATTATCTTCCTCATCAACAATTCTAAACATATTTTGTTCAAAAACGCTATATAAACTTTGTTACTACCATATAGTATATAGGTTGCAGCATTTTCTAGTCAATGGTTTTTAGATTTCGTCTCGGGGATGTAGGTTGTTAGCCAAAACCTGTTATCAAATCTCTGAGTCTCATTTATTTCATACACATACCTTTTCCTTACACTCACGAACCATACAAATCTAAAGATATAGCACACATATGTACATATATCTTCACTTTAGTCCAAGTAGCCACCTCACACATCTTGTGAAAATTGAAGTCACTACTACACAAATACCTTAAATCCTTCAAATTCTCATATGGAACATGCATCTACCAAACTCTCTAGCCATATAGTATACGAATGTTTAATTTGAAGAAATATGAAGACCTAGTAGTAAAACTTGAGGTGAGGATCCATGGCATTAATCTAAAACCGCCACTGTTACATATAGTTTTTAAGATTAGTGAAAGACATAAAGAGATTGAGATTAAGTTTAGAAAACTAAACTACTCTCCTTAATTAGGAGCTTCCAGAATTAGTAGAGTCCATAACAAGTTCACACTCTTCCATTACAGCAGCTTCTTTAATCTCTTGCAACATTTTCAACACTTGCCACATCGTAGGCCTCTGCTCCGGCGATGCTAAGCTACAAGCCACCGCGACTTCGGTAAGCATTCCGAATTTATCTCTATCCTCTCTCCAATTCCCATTCTTCTTCTCACCTTCCTCTCTCACTTTCCTAACCCATTCCATCATCCCATCTAAAGTCAAAACCGGGATTTTCGAAGGTTGCTTCCCTGTCAAAAGCTCCAAGAGAAGGATCCCAAACGCGTAAACATCAGCTTTAACAGATTGGTAATTCAAACTCTTGTGTCTAGCTTCAGGAGCTTTATAAGCTGCTGCATCCGCGTCTTCTTGACCATCACCTGATGTTAAAGGAGGGTTTGTCGCAAGCGCGACGAGACAGTAATCGGCGATACAAGCTTCGAAGTCTGGTCCAAGAAGGACATTAGAGGATTTGAGATTGCCATGAACAAGCTGCCATGCTTGGTGGATGTATGATAGACCCTGAGCCACGTCTTCTGCTATCTTCAAACATGATGTCCAATGCAATGGTGTTGCTCTAGACGATTTGGTACCTGCACAATAATCATATAATCAACTTTTAACATAATTAAGCTTTGAATATACGAAAACCCAAACAAAACGTTTCATAACATCATTTTAAGTGACATTTACATATAAACCAAAACTAAATCAAAATATATCTATAATTAATCTGTTATTACTTGTTGCTATACCATAAAGAACAACCAAGTAATTAATTATTAATCATATAAAAAATAGAGCTATTTTGAATTGACATTTTAATAAAATAATTTAAATAAATCAATTCTATTATTTTCTAATTTATCTGAGACAAAGAGTACCAAAATTCGAAATTCAAATAACTATTTTGTACTTTTAACCTTAAAAACAACCAAGTAATAATTATTAAAAAAAAATACAGATATGTTGCATTGAAATTCTAAATATTAATTAAAATAAATCATTTTTAATTCTTTCTAGTTTTAAGAGTACCAAACTTTGAATTTTAAATAAAATTTTGTACTTTTAGTTAATTATACAGTAAATTAATGGTTTTGACAAAAAATAAATTTAACTGTAAAATCAGTAATTCCACGTGGCCACTGAAACTAAACTGTGCAGTAAAATTAAAAAATAATTGACTGACGAAAGTGAAAAACCTCGTAAGTGGTAAATTTATTACAAGCATTAATCACGCAAACCAAACAAAATGCTGGATGTCTTCAATTCTAATGCTATAATCACATGTGATAAGGTTTACGAAAGCTTACCGTGGACAAGAGACGAGAGACTGCCATTTGGCAAATAATCATAAATCAAAAGCCTTTCTTCCTTAGCTTGAAAATAAGCTCTGAGTGGAACCAAATTCGGATGACCCAAAGCACCAACTGATTCCATGTGACGCTCAAATTTATCTCTCCCTACACCAGCTAATCTAATGGCATCTAATCTCTTAACCGTCACGATCAAACGGCTGTCAAGCAATGCTTTATAAGTTGTCCCTACTGTTCCTCTACCCAATAACTCAGCTGATGCTGTCATTAGCTGGTCCATCGTATACACGTTTGCCTCACCCGCACAGAATACTAAACTCCCGCTTTTTGTCGCTTGTAGCTTTTTAACTTTTTCTTCGATCTCGCTTTCTTGTTCTATCGCCGCCGCTACTTCCGCTGTCTCCGCCGCGTCGAATGTTACAACCGCCGTTGATTGTTTCTCTTTTGAGTGATTTTTTGTGTGGTTTCGTCTCTTCACGGCGCCGATTAGGCACGCGATTGAGATGAAGAGGATAAAAGCGCCGGAGATAAACGTTAAGATGATCACGAATCGTGAATGTTTGCCGTGGTTTGGCCGGGGGAGTCCGATTTGCGCGATTTGACTGAGGGATTTAGCCGGTGGTGGCGCCGTCTTCGTCGTCGTCGTCGCCGGAGTGAAGAACTTGGGTCTTGGATTGCATTCTTTGTGAACAATCTCGCCGCAGAGATTAGGGTTTTTGAGAAATGACGATATACCAAACCGTAATAACACGGCGGTTACCGGTATAGCACCGGTTAAGTTGTTAACCGAAACATTGAATGTATGAAGCGAGGATTGGTTTAGAGCAGGGACGGCGCCGTTAAACCGGTTTGAATCGAGACGGAGGTAGATTAACCGAGCTAAAAGAGCTAAACCGGGTGGGATTGGACCGATGAGATTGTTGAATGAGAAATCAAGAGTTCTTAACCGGTGAAGAGCGAGAACAGAGAGAGGAAACGAACCGGAGAAAGAGTTGTGATCAAGAAACAACGATTTGAGATTAACTAAACCGGAGAGATCCGGTATAGGTCCGGTTAAAGAAGTGTTCTTGAGACTAAGAACACGAAGCTGGTCAAGTCTATTGACTGAGTCAGGAACGAGTTGACCACCAAGATAAAGATCTTCGATAACCAAACGAACCACTCTGTTTCCATAACACGTAACACCCCACCATTGACAGAAATGAGAACTCGTGTTTATCTTGTTCCACAAATCAGCTTTAGATTTGAAACGTACCAAAGCAGAAACGTCACGGTGTTGATGATGAAGATGATGAAACAACTCTTTGGTACTGTTTAAAGAAGAAGAAGAAGCAACAATGGTGAAGAAGAAGAAGAAGAAGAAGGGTAAGTAACAACGAAGAATCATTGTAAGAATGTGTTAAAGAAGAAGCATGTTAATGTTCTTGATTATTATTATTACATATGAGAAAAGCTTTAGAATGTAAGAGAGGAGGAGAGAGGTGAAGGGAGCAGGAGGTACGTGACAAAAGGATGTAAGACACAAGAGAGTAGCTGTCGGAGACTGGAAAGTTTCAGTGAGTCACGTGAAATACTGATAAAGTAGAGAAGTTGTGTGTAATTATTATATGATATTAATGTTACTTGTGTATGTAGATAGATACTGTTGAAGTGAAGCAAAGTTATTAAAAAAAGGATAGAAGATGAAATATATTAATGCCGATTTTGTAGGAAGAGATCTGAACTCTTTTTGGTGTTTTCTTTCGAAACCGGATCTAAAAGTATACTGTGAAGGAAGAAGAGACAATAGTAGTATTGTTATGTGTTTTCAGGTTGATTTTTTAGTCTCTAATTATGAATAAGTAGTACAAGTTGTTATAGAACTTGAAGCTAGCTAGTTAAAGTGACAACAAGAATATGCCAACTGTTTAATTTTTTTCTATTGTTAAGGCATTTTTTTGTTTTTCTTTTGTTTTTATTAAGTTTTATTATTTCTTAAGTGAAGATTCAAACCATCAAGTTTGTTTGACTATTATAAAACATGATTTGGACGTCGGCAAAAACAAAAACACACATGGTTTGGACTAAACCCAAATTAGGATTACTAAATATATTCGACTAGTTTAGTACCCGTCAAATGGACAGATTATAATTATTAATAAATCAAATTTACATAACTTTAATTAGGTTATTTGTTTATTTTTTTAAAGATTTTAATATATAACTATGTATAATATTTATTTTATAAATTTCCATTTCTAATATGATTAAGAATATTTTTATATGTTTTTATCTAAACATTAATAAAATCAGAGTCGGCATGTGTTATTATCCTATCGTTTATAATTAACACATGTCAGAGTTTTGTTAATGGTTTGGAGTAAGTTAGATAGATATAGGATCTAGACTAGCTAGAATGTAATAATGTATGGAGGTTACCTAAGTCACAGAGAACAAAGTTCGAAAACATTATTTCTAAACAAGATAGCATCACGGCAAATCATTGCATCAATATCTATCTCAGATGAGAACCTCTGGTCTATGGAATTTTGTAGATGTGAGTTTCTTAATTTTTGTTTTAAGATTTTGTACTCTCAGTTAATTCCATTCATCTCTTGACAGCATGTAATTCATCAAACCACTTTCGTCTTTCTCGGTGAACTGGTGAAGTGAGAGTAAAATTAATCAATCAGGCAAGGAACGTACAATATAACAACATACTTCAATATATTATAGTGGACCATATTGTTATGGTGGTTCCAAAATAGGTAAATAAACTATAATAATACAATACAAAAATGTGATTATGGAACTTGGAAATGTTATAGTTATATAAAACCAATAGAATGAAAAACGATAAAATGAAATAAGAAAATTAAAGTTTTAGTTTTAAGAATTTTTTTTTTTAAAGTTTTGTAAAAAAATTCTTCTTATATAGGATATGGTTTGAAGAAAAGTTTAGATTGTGTTTTGGGAAAATGTCGTTTAAGTCATGAACTTTCAAATTTCGGTCATTTAAATCACGAACTTTCTATGTGCGCATTCAAAACATGAACTTTTGATTGACTTAGTTTTTAAAACAAAATTTTTCGTTAACTAAGACGAAATGAACATCATATCCTCAAATCCGTTAATATCAGATCATATGTATTTTTCGTTACAATTTTGCTTATGAGCATCTCCAACTTACCCTTATTTTTGCCTCTAAACTTTATTTTATAGCAAATTTTGCTCCAACCCACCTCTATATCCACCTCTATTATATAGATTGCTATTTTTATCTCTATATATAGAGGAACTCTATTTTTTCCTCTATAACTAGAGTTAAAATATTTTATTTGCAAGTCTTTTTAATCTTAAACTTATTTTATTCATGAACAAAATAAATATATTTAATAACTAATAATATCTAATATTTTAGAAGTTTTAATATTAATATATTCTAAAATCTGAGACTACCAGTTGCAAAAGATAAATTATATTATTAATATATTTAATAATATATTTTATTTTTTTATTGAAAAAAGATTTTATTTTTTATTTATTCCATAGTAATTATTTTAATACAAAAATAATTATTTAATACTCTCGTAAATTATTTCCGGATCCACCAATGTCGTTAAAATAGTGTCCAAATGAGCCAAATGAAATAGATGCAGGAGGAGTTTGTTGGTTTTGTTGCTGATCATTCTACTTTTGTATGATTCGTGTTTTGTTTCGCCTCAAAAATATCCACAAACATTTGGATGTAGGGTATTCAAGTCACAAAATAATTCTTTTTTCTTCCTTTTGCTCTTTCAAAGCATGATCTTTTCTTTGTTGTCTTTGTTCACTTGCCATATTCAGTTGCTCCAAAAATTGCTTATTTCTTTTTTTTTAAGTGTTGATAACCGATGTTGTTTGATCACCAATTTTCTTATTGTTGATGGTCAAGAATCTAATACTTATTGTTTTTTATATAATGTGATGTATTTTTTTAATAAAACATTCTATATGTTATGATGTTTTTTTATTATAAATGTTTAATTTAAATAAAAGTAATTATTTTATTAAAATTTAATAAAAGTTAAAGTAAATGGATTAATTTGCAATTTTTATAAATAGATGTGTAAATATTAAAATTTAAAATGAATCTATTTGAAATATTCTATTATAGAGAAAAAAAATAAAGGAATACATTAGGGGTAATAGTCCCCTCTACTATAGAGTTCTTCTAGAGGCAAAAATAACAAAATTGATTCTTCCAAAATATATCCAATCAAATTCACGATGAGTAACGGGCTGGGCCTAAAAGTTGAATAAGAGAATTCATATTTAAAGGCCCAAATCAATTGTCTTCTTCCTCCTCTCCGATTCTTCTCATCTTCTTCCCCTTATTAAAAAATAAAAATCCAGACTTTGAAAACAAAAAAAAACTCTAATGCTTCAAGCCCTTGTTGGTCCGTCTTCTCCCTCCCTCCATTGACTCCTCTCAAGCAAGCTTCTTCGATCTTCTGCTCCTTGGTACTTTCATTTTCCCCAAGTCCTTTGTTAATTTCATAGTATACACACTTCCCCTAGATTTTAGAGACTTATGTTTTTGGAAATGTGACTTCTAATTTCGTTGCAATCGCACTGTTTTGCCCAATTCTTTTCATTGTAATTATGATTTCTAAGCCAATTTCTCTGTTTATTTGACATTGTTCTGTCTGAAACTGGGCAAGATCTTGTTTCTTGAAGAAGCATAAATAGATTTTCAAGAAATTGCTTTGCATTGTTCAATTTTGTTAGTAGTTTCAGATTTGAGTTACAATTGTTTCTTGACTTGTTATAATGGCAATGAAAAAGAGTTAAAAATTGTTGCATTTCTTTGATATTGTTTTCAGGATGGCACATTCTTTAAGTTCCATCTCCACCAACTTGAACAGTTTAGTCCTTAATCATCAGTGGAAGAGTTTAGGAACGTTTGTGTTGTCACCATCTAAATGTAAGAGGAGATTTGCAAGAAGGGTTAGAGCTTTGCAAGAAGCTGAAGGTCCAACTCCGAGAAGATTGATCGATATTATAAGATCGGTTCCTGAAATCTCGAGGAATTACTTCAAGAAGCCATCAAGAAGAACGCTTTTCGGAGGTATCTCGTTGTTAGGTGGGTTTTACGTCGCACAGACTATCTCTCTGTCGTTTGGAGCTTTGGGAGTGAACGATGTTATTGCTGCGGTTTTATGCGTTCTTTTGACAGAGTATGTGACGAGATTCTACTATAGCCGCACCACGGTTACATTTCCTATTGCTCTGCTTAATAATTTTAAGATGGGTTTCACTTATGGTCTCTTCATTGACGCGTTCAAGCTAGCTAGCTAACTGTTTGCAAGGCAGAAGTATGAGAGATCCCAAAGCGTAGATGTAAAGATTAAATTCAAGCTTTTGGAGTGGTTTGAGAATTCCATTATCATAATTTTGTATTCAATCAACCAAACACTTCAAAGTTAGAGAGGCTCTGTAGTATGTCAAAGGGTCTTGGCCGTCTTCTTTCTGGTTTGCAGTGTGAAATACTTTGCCTTCTCTTGTTTGTATCTTACAATGTGAAATATATGCCAAAGTGAGAATGGAAAGTGAAATTGTATCCATAATATATAGAGAAATAGCAAAGTTGAAAGAGATTAATAACCAAACCCATTTGTTTTTCGAGTTTGTTACTTTAACAATGATGAAACTGAATGAAACTTAGGGAGAGGTTTTATATGTACAGAAAACCTCAGCAGCAGAATCAGCAATTTTTAAATCTGAACAACAACATAAAATGCTTTTGATGAAGTTTCTCAATGTTTGTCTCTTTCTCTTAAGCAATGTGCTTTCTGCTCTTCGCCCAGAACGGTATTGCGGGTGTACGCTTGAGTGCCTTGACGCTCAACGAACTGTTCTTGCTCTGCCAAACCAAAGACATTTCAAAAAATCAGTAAGCATTTTCATCAAAAGTCTCAATGCTTCTTGATACCACTAGTGATGTAAAGAAACTAACCTTCAAACAGGCTCCGCGGTTAGTGTCACAAACTGGGTAGTCATGAGGACAGCAACTAGAGCGATCATCGCAGCAAGTAGCAGCTTCTTCGGGGCAACATCCCCAACCGAAGCAGTACTTACCGTACTGGAAGAGACAACAACAAGTGTTGCTCTCAGGGCAAGAGAAATATTTGTCACACTGAGTTGGTGGCTTAATGGGAGATGGTGGTGACGGTCCAGGGTTTGGCGGGTTCTGACCTTTCTTGATTGGATACGAAGCTTCCATCGCGATTCCACACTTTCCTGTTGGCTCTGCGATGTTTCGTGCCATCTTTATGTATCCGCTCTCTCCCCATCTGTTTCCCCATGAGTTCCTCACAATCCAATAGTCCTTTCCATTCTCAGTTCCATAACCAACAGCCACAACTCCATGGTCTAGCTCAGTCCCACAGATTCCATCAAATACACCCTAAAGACAAAATATCCAACCAACATTTTAACATCTTCAAATCAAGATAGCTCAAATCGTTGTCTCACTATTGAGATATTACATACCGAAGAATAGAGCTGGAAAGCGCGACCTCCAGCTTCAATGGCGATACTAATAGGCTGGTGAGCCAATGCTTTCTTTAAAGAAGCCTCACTGTTCTCAGGCACATCTTCGTAAGAATCAATTGTGACAACCTTAGCATTTTTCTGCAAACACACAAAAACAAAAAACAGAGAAAACATTCAATTTCAAAGCCTAATGTTTTGAGGTTTCACCAAATGCACAAAACCAAAACAAAACTAACCCTGTTCTGATCACAACGACCATCAGAAGCCTTGTAAGGATAATCTTGTTCAGTATCAATACCACCATTTTTGATAATAAACTCAAACGCATAGTCCATCAAACCTCCATTACAACCTTGGTTATAAGATGTGTCACAATCAACCAATTCTTGTTCAGACAAAGAAATCAAATCTCCTGTCACAATCTTGTTTATTCCTTCCACTGCTCCAATAGTTGAAAACGCCCAACAACTCCCTATAGAAGAAACAAAGAAGATTTGTTACAACAATAAATTCAAATCGTCACAATCATATACCAAATCAAAGTCCCCATCACTGTCCTATAAATTCTTGAAAAAAGCAAAAATCTCAGTATGGGTCCATAATAATAGTCCCACTACCACACTTTAAAGTTTAAAGACCATACCAAACATTAAACACACAAAAATATCATCAGATTTGACCAGAATTATTCATCTCCATTGATTCAAAATCTCTGTTTTGTGTAAATCGTGAACCTAAAAATTCAACCTTTAACCATAATTATTCATCTCCACAAATCCAAAAGTATTGGTTTTTCGAAACGTACACCTCAAAAAGTAAAAACAAAAAATAAAGTCAACACTTTCAGACCGAACTCATCATTCCCCAGACAACAAGTTTCAAGTTCTGTCTGAAATATTTATCAAAACAACAAAAAAATGATTTACGAAACAATCCAAGATTTCTCGATACTTTTCACATAAACCCATTTCAATTCTCAAAAAAAAAAAGTGAAAAAACTGATTCATCCGTTATAAAGTTGAGGAATTTGTGGGATTTTTCCAGATTTCAAAAATTAATTTAAAATAAAACAAAGATCTTACCGCAGCTTCCTTGATCTTTAACATCGGAGACGGCACCTTCTTTTCTCCAGTCAACGGAATCAGGAAGAGCGTCACCAACACGCGCTTCATACCGATCACTGGTTTTTTTCAAAACCCTCTTGTTCGGTTTAGCACCAAGGTACATAGATCGGTACTCTTCATTGGTCAAATCAGCAAACCGGTTTAAACCGAGTTTATAACTGAGGTTTTTCTTGTTGTTGTGTTCATCGATGAAACGAAGATTGTCTTTAAAGATCTCGAACCGTTCTTGATCTTTGTCTGAACCAAGAAGACCGTTCATCTTCTCCTTCTTCTTCCCGTGTTCCACCAACCACGAGTCGTAGATTCTCTCAACCTCCGCGTCGCTACGGCTTGTCACGGTGGTTGTTGTGGTGGTGATGTGGTGGTTCTTGTCGTATGAGATGATTGACATGTCCATGGCGTATGAAACGCTGATCATGGCTATGAGAAGGATCATCATCATCATCGGAGATAATAGCTTTATGAATCCCATTTTGTGGAGAAGGAAGAAGAAGAAGATGAATTTGTTTTGTTTGATTTGAGATAAGAGAGATTTGATGGTGGTGTATATAAAGGAGAAAAACTCAATTAGTGTCTTAATTAATTATTAATTACTTTTTCGTCTACTTTTTTGTAATTTTAAGAAAAGTATTTGTTTTTTGTGTGGGGCTAGTGGAGCCATTTGTAAGATATTCGGCGGTTAAACAAATAAAATAGAACTTGTAGGGTCAAAATAAAAATGTAAATTTGTGAAGAGTCAATTCATTAGTAATTATTTATAACTTTGGTGTTCTTTTCTAAGTGGTGATTTATGTTTTTAATGAGGTTGATGGAGCCACTTTGAAGAAATTAGGCGGTTAAACAAATAAAAGAAGAAGTTGTGGGGTGAAAATGAAAATATAAGATTGTGAAATAGTTAATAATTAGTGTAATTTTCCAAAAAGTTGAAGAAAGTGATGATATTTTGGTTTCTAACGGGGGTGATGGATCGGAGCATATTAGAAGATATTATGCCGTTAAAGAAATAAGTGATCATTTGTGGGGTTAAAATGAAAATGTAAATTTGTGAAGAGTTGATTTATAAGTAATTATTTGATTACATTAATCCATTTTCAAAGTAATGATTTCTGGGTTTAAGAGGGGTTAGTGTAGCTAATTAGAAGAAATGAAAGGTGAAAAAACAAAAATTTATAGATTTGCGAAGAGTCTACTATTTATTGGTCAATAAAAAAAAATCGTAGGATGAAAACAGAATTGTAAATTTTTGAAGACTTAACTCATAAGTTATTATTTTATTACATTTGTCAAATTTTACAAAAGAAAATATTAAATAACTCACGTTTTGTTTATTTTATAGGAATTTTCCCTTTTTCAAAAGTAATGATTTTAAATGGGGTTAGTGGAACTATTAGAAGAAATAAGAGGGTAAAAGAAATAAATGAGAAGTAGTGGGGTAAAAATAAAAAATGTAAAACTTTGTGAAGAGTTCCACTATTATTGGTTAAGACAATGTGGGAAGGGACAGCTCAGAAGTGCCAAGTGGATGACAAGATAATAAATTAGAAATATATCAAAGTCCCAAGCAAATTGGTGACGCAAATAGAAGTAACATGTGAAGAATCGTTTTTGATGAGATAAGATTTGTAAGAAAAAAAAAACAAGATTTTCCAAACAAGAAGATTCTTTTTGGTAAAACGTGGATTAAATTAGATTAAGTGATAATTAGTTCACATTGTTCTCTCTATTATTATGATTCCTTGGGGGAAATAAAATACTCTAATCAAATGTTTATATTATACGTCAAACATTTTAATTGTGTCTTTTAATAAAACAAATGTTATTGATCGGTTTGTGTTGGTTATAATTATTCAATTTTTTGTGTTAAGGAATTTTTTTTTTGTCATGTGGTCTTTATGATTTTAGGAAATAGGTCCAGTCTAATGGTTACGGACTCCCGGTTAATATAATTTTAATCATATATGGTTTTTAACCGTTTTATAAAATTGTGGTACAAAATACGGTCCAAAATATAGTAGTTTTTGTCATAACTACAATCCTATAATATTATTTTGGTTCTTTTTTCGAGTTTTCAAGTTCTAGAAAATAATTCTAATTCAAAATCGAACTAAATTATGATTCGATTTTGATAAATAAATTTTGATTTAAAAAAATAAAATTAACTGATTTTAATTAGAATTGTACATTAACAATATATGTATTTCAAAATTAGTTTTTTGAATGAGTTTTCGTTAGTTGGTTTGGTTTTATATAGTTTGATTGATTCGGTTCGGTTCTAAATCAGATAATTTGGTATTAATTTTTTTATTTCATTCCGGTTATTTTGTAATTTGGTTTAAACTAAAGTTCATAATTGGAGTTCCAACTTCATGGAGTCATCCACTTGATTAATGGGTGTTATAAGGAGGAATTGAGATATTAAAATTAGTTTTTTCTAATAACCTTTTATATATAAACATATTTATTAATATAATTCTTTCGATTAGCTCATGTCATCATATAAGAGATTCCTATGGGGCCACTAAAATTTTATATACATAAGGCAACATAAAAGTATTTTCCCCATTGTAGTTTATAATTTACATTAGAATAAGAAATTGCACTGTTAATTAAAAACGAAGAAAATGAAGCTTTCTTTTGCGTGGAGAAAACACATAGTGAGACTTTTTTGTTTTTGAATTAAAATAATTGCCGAACGAATTGTTTACTTATAAATTGTAAATTGCTAATTGCTATATAGTTTTTAATAGATTTTCATCTTAAAGATAATATAAAACAAAAAATTGAGTTAAACAAAAAAAAAATTGCACTATACCCCTAAGTAATTTAGCCAAAGGCAAAATCACACACATATTTTTTACTTTCTACAATACCATAATCGTAAAAATTATAAAATAAAATTCTAAACCGTAAATCCAAATTAGCTACTTTGTAACTTCGCAAA